TTGGATAGCATTGCGCAAAATAATGCCACATTACCAGCCATATCGCAACAAGCTTCCAGTTTGTCGCTTAATGATGTGAATGATCTGAAGGAGATGGATAATCATTGCAGTTCAGATGTGATCGATGAGCATGAGTACAAGAAATACGAAGAACCTGAAGCGGTTATGGTCGAAGTTGAGGATCACATCGAGGAGACCGCTTCGCCGCTGGTGACCGCACATACGCTTGTGGAGCAACAGACACCCATTTATAAATATGAAGAAGGCGCTTGCAGTGATTATTGGTAACCGAAGATTGTGACGGAAGAAGTTTAAAGCAAATAAAAAAACAAAACTTACTTCTCTACAGCAACACGAGGCGAGTTCAAAGTTTTGAATCGCACACCAATTTGGCACCGTTACTCTCTGTGCTCCAGCGTACTGAAGAGAACTTCGCAAAACTCAAGTGTGCTTCCGCAGAATTGTGTCAGAACGTTGAATTGCGACAGTGTGAGACGATGCTCACCTACATACGCAACATCTATCCTTATTATTCGGATAACCTGATGAAGCCGCACGTTTTGAATGCTATATCGGACGTACAAAGCGAGTTAAGCAGAATTAGCGACTTGGTGAGTTCAAAAAATATATTCTGTTTTGTGTTTTCGCCCATTCGGACGACATGACCTAGCCAGCGCAGTGATGGAGTCATGTGTAGAAGTTCATGCAAGTGAGGAAAGTTGTCTAATTTCCGTTCACTTGGAATTGGCCGGAGACGTTTCTTTCAGCAGCTCACGACTTCCGGTCTTTGACCAAGTATCTACTGCGGGCCCAAAGAACATCCGTTTGAAGGCGAGCTAAAGTGAGAAGGCGAACCATCCCTCTTTAGGGTTGTGCGCTAAGTTTGAGACTCGCCACGTTAAATGAAACTTTGTTGCCAAACTAGATCAAATACAATTAGAGATCGGATTGCTTTATGACCACGTAAACAAATTTAAGATAAAAACTTCATCAAAATGACTTTTGATTTATAAATCACTAACCCTCATTACACACTCCTTTTCTAGTGCGAAAAGTGTCCGCTAGATGAGGCTTGTTGCCAGGAAATAATGGAGGAGCGCAATAACGAATATAACGAGGAGTTGAAGGGCCTAAACGAAGCATTGTCGTTGTTAAGGCGAAGTATACGTAAGTACATACATTTTTCCACGACAACAAACTCGATAAACTTAATTAACTTTACAGATGGCGGTTCAACTCCTTACCCACGAGATATCGTGCCGGATATTAGTATCACCACAGTTGACGTGCAAAATATGGCTACAAGCGACACAACGAAGGATCACATTTCAACCACACTTGAGGCAACGGATGAATGGAGTGCTTCACACCCGGAAAATGATGACAACGACATACCCAAACTAACACAACGTACACAATACGCCAACGGTAATGGCGGCAATGGCGTGGCTAGTAAAAAGAAATTACGGCTGCGTAAAACCGGTTCGCGACAGAACAGTAAAACCGAGAGCGATAGCAGTGACGCAGATGCGCACAGCGTGTTGGAGACATCACGACGCATAAAACGTAAGAATTTTCGCCTTAAGCAGCGCTCATTCGATGATGATTACCGCCGAAATGAAGAGACTGGTGGCGATGATGTTGTCTACGTGTTGAAGGTGAAACCGGGTCATCCTATTGAGCAATGCGAGAATGTAGTGAGCATGGAACGCTGTCTTTCCGAAACTAACAATTTTCGACCGAAAAGTGGCAGCGAAAAGTGTCTGGTAGCCAACGCAACAGTTATACCGAGACGGCCACCAGTCGTTAATGCAAATGATATGGGGGAAAATGTGAATTTTAACCGAAATGAAAATGTTTTTGTGAAAACCAAACGAAAATTATTTACTGCAGTCCCTGAGCCAAATGCAATTGGTGGTATAACGGTAATTGAACGTGAACTCGTTACAACACCAACTGAGGAAATAGAAGCGCCGACCGAAGCATCATTGTCAGAGGCCGAGCCCACGACGCTGGAGGCTGTAGACTTAGTTGACTCAGAAACGCCGACGGAAGTTGGTAGTCTAACACCCAAGCGTTCCAACTCGACTTGCAGGTCACTGAGTCAGGGCGATGTGCGTCGTGACGAATATGATTACGAGGATGAGCGCAAGTGTCATAGTGCCGAAAAGCTCATAACAGCAGCTGAAAAACAATATAAGGACGCGCGACCACCACTTGCGTCCGATAGCTTTCGCGTTATCAACAAAAGCTGTGCTAGCCCCATACGTGAATCGGCAAGTCCCGCAAAGTTGGGTTCGTTTGTCGCAACTACTGCTGGCAGCAGTCCCACCGAGGTGCGTAAAGAGCATCGCTTCAAAAAGAATACCGAAAAATCACATTATTACATACCTTTCGCAAAATCGCAAAGTGGCACAATCAAGAAAATCGAGACGAAAATCGCCAAAACGCATTCGGGAACCTCTATCGGTGAGGTGTCACCACAAGTTTACGCCGCCGACAGATTTGATAATACATTACCGCGCATTGCGCGCAAACTCGAACGAAAATCGTTGACACCCACTAGCATGCAGCCACTGCATTTCGATTTCCCTGCACCGCATAGCTCTGAGCCCACAACACCGTTACATTTAATAACACAAGATACTCCACGTACACCACTTTCCGAACGCGCATTGCGTTTACAGAGAGCAAAGGAGGAGTTTCTGCAGGGCAATGGCGCACATCTCTGCGCCGAAACCCCCGAACCGCAAGTGAAGCGACGCGACGATATTATACGCAATGAAACCTGGGAGCAACACCGTCGTAGTGACTATAGCATGAGTTCAGCGGCGGGCGAAGAAGCCAATTTACCAAAGAGTTTCAGTGTGGGCACTATTACCGGAGATTCTTATACTGAAACACCGACACACTCGGACACTGGCACTGATCTGGACAGCAGTGTGTATGATTCATTGCCACGCTCAGTCAGCCGTTCGGGTAAAATATCCAGCAAGCTTGGTTTTGCCACACTCGCCTCGAAATTTCGACGTGGCAAGGGCGTCAAGAAGGGAAAAGACGCACCACCGAAACCAGAACATGAAACAACGAGTGGTAGTAGAGCGCTATCGGCATTATGTCGCCAGACATTGATGGCCGATGTCATAGCCGTGCCACAATTGGCTAAGCAGAGCACGCGTGAGAGTGTTCAGAAGTCACAGTCTTCACCGCAAGCCGGTAGAGGTTACAACAGCGCTAGTGGTAGCCGCCAAAGCTCTATTTACGATGCGGCCGGCGTTCGACCACAATTGGAGCCATTAAATAAATCACAAAGTGAACAATATGTTAGACGTCACAAAGAGAGCATTGTCTAGTCAAAAGCCCATATGAATGTCCATGGAACCAAACATGATTTAAATGCAATTTTTTATTAATTTATACAATTATATATACAGTATATATATTTAATTTTATTTTTGTGTGTAAGCTACGATTGTATTGAGATTACTTAGAGATTTTTATTTGCACTATATTAATCAATGTATCCGACGGATACAAAAGCGAATGTGAACAAAACTTGTAATATATAGAGATTTTTATATGTATGTATGTGTTAAAAAATGGAGTTTCTTTTGAAAATCATCGCTTCAGCTATTGTTTATATGGAATTATCTCGGACTGATCTCAAGGTTTGTTTTGAGCAAGTTTTAGCGAGCTCTGCACTTAAGAAAAAATGGCTKTCCTGTAGCTATAAGAGATTGTCCGAATTTTGTTCGCAATGTGAATAATATTTGTCAAGATGTATTCTGGATCTCTTTAGCTTGGATAATGACAATTATTATTTTGTCAAAACTTACAAATAATAATAAAGATATGGTTATGAAGTCAATGCCAAACTTTTATTGCTCGATTAAGACTTTATCTCTCAATTGCCTACTCAGTCCGAGATAGCACCTGTTGGCGAAAAGTTATTCTCCGTTGGACTTCGAGGCTGACGTTGTTGTTAATGTGTGTTCATGCTGGCTCTAAGATAGACGAAATTACTTACGACTTCGAAGTAATGATTGTCAACAGTGACGTGGGATCCAAGTTGCGAGTGTGAAGCTGTTGTTTTGATGACAGGAGATATTTCGTCTTGCCCCCGTTCACTACCAGACCAAAACCCAGAGCAAACAACCGGAGCGGTTGTTACGGCCAATGATATCGATGTTATAGGGTCGCCCTATCTGAGATCTCGTTTGGTATTCAACGGCTTGGAGAGGTTCTTATTGATCCTGACGGAGCTTTTGGTATTTCAAATTCAAATTTTTCAAAAAGTATGAGTGGCAATAGGCAAAGGGAAACAGAGCTGATTTCAACACGAAATATTTTGCTGATCTGTCTGTGATATAAGAGACAGGAGCGCCAAACCGCAAACGTTTGAACTTAAGTCATTATTAGGTCCAAAGTGCTACCGAGTGGTAACCTAACCGGCCGGATTTTTTTTTAAAGCTGTTCAATATCTCTTAAGCTCTTCAATCCTTCAAAGAAGCCGTGAAAGATATCAACCGTCTCAACCGGCTGAAAGCTAATAATTCGTGTGAGTCAAGAAAATTGGTGGAAAATGCTTCCATCATCTCAAAGTTGTACAAAAATTTCTCAGAGGCACGAAGTACTCCTTCCGCTATCATTAGAGGCTCTATACCATACACACAATTCCTACATTTGCAACTGAGTCATTGTTCAATAGACCGAATCTTTTTCACATTCAACTTTCTATTCAGATTGTGATCCTGCACTAAAATTTTACCAAACTAAATATAATAAAATGCAGTAATATGAAGTTACCCGATCTTTAACATGTAGTTCGAGGTTAAAATATGAAAAGAAGGAAGAGCAACTGAATCGTCGACAGAGCTCATCCAAGAACCTAAAATGAAAACTTTCGAACTGCTAAGTCGAAGTAAAAAATTGCGCCTTCATACAAAATTCTCATAATTCGAAAACGAGTGGCTGCAGCGTTATATTTTACCATTCGACTACGTATAAATATTTATTGCAATAACCTTTTAACAATTTCAAAAAGTTATACATTTTTCTGAATCAATTCAAATTACGTTCATTTTCAGGTTTCATGAAGTCATATTCCACGGTGGTGTTATCGACATACATTATGCAAGTGGACAAGTTAGCCACAGTCTCCACCATCTGCGGCACGCCACCGATGAAGTCGCGACTGCAATTCACACTGCCTTGCATGGCGTTCGGTAACTCATTCCTCACCTTATCAAGTGCGCTGACGCCCAATAAATAGGTATCTCTAATGTTCGCCACAATTTTCGACAAATTCAACAGCACCGCAGACAATTTGCCCAGTAAAGATTTTTTACCGGCGATCTTTTTATAAATACCAGCCAAACTGTAGATATTCTTCTGAATAGTGCTCACTATGTGCACGGTCTCTTGCTCAATGCGCAACACCAAACGCTTCGAATATCTGTAACAGTCGGCGCCCTCGTAGATGTGCTGCAGCGACACATTCAATTGCGGTATGTGGGAGTAGGTGCAGTAGGCGGCGCGTGCTCCGCGTGTCGCCACCTTGAAAAGCACCCTTAGCGCTTTCAATATGTATCCCACGATTTTCGGTTTATCAATTTTAATTAGTTCAGACTCCAATTGCAGGGAACCACGTACGATTTCGTCAATTTGCTGCTGTGCCTCGTCCAATGACTCCTGAAGCAAACTCTCAATGTCGTCGCGTTCGTCAAGCTCGACGTCGGTAAGATCAATGCCGGCGAAACCCATCAATTCGGCAACTGTCGGCAGTGTTGTATTGTACAAATTTTCTTTGTTGTTGTCGTCACCAAATGCATATGGTTGTTGGAAAGCATCGAAGTATTGCTCCAATTCAGCTTGAGCTGCTGCGTACTGTGGATCTCGTGCCTTGGCGTCATCCTCATCTAGTTCCTCTTGAGGCGCTTGACTAACTATGTAATTATATTGCTCTTGCAGGTAATAAAAAAGTGGTCGCAAAGCATTTATCTCCTCTGGTGTAAGGTCAATGGTGCTATCGAGTATGCCGCTGATCTCTCCGTACGCGACTATGGGCTGCAATAACAATTCAGCGAAATTTATTAACTTCGTTTGGAGTATGTTGTTCGTTTTTCCTTCAAGTCCTTACCGTTAAACAAAGCAGTAGTATGCAAAGCCCTCCTTTGACTTGCAAATTCATTTTATTGAAACTTTAGTATCACAAACAAAAAACAAACCACTTTATACGTCCGTATCTCTGTGAATTGTCCCGCTGTTTGGCCATTAAATTATTTTTGTCGATTCTTATTTAATCTAACAGTTTATGGCTTGCTTATCGGTAAAGCGATTACTACGATTAAATTATTCTGTTAATCTTAGGGTAAGGGTGTAAATGAGTTGCTAATGGCTGTGATTATTAAACTGTGGAACGTGGGTTCCCTACACAGATCATAAACAAATATATGATTATTCAATAAAAAAAAGTTAGTATACCTCGAAAGGCAACGAAAAACGAATAGACATTCGGATACTATACATAACATGTAGAATCTCAATGATAAGGAATAAAATCTTGGTATACAAAAAAAAATTTTTTTAGAACAGCACGGCCAAAGATCTTTCAAGGAATAAACATAGCGATAAGTACGTATTCAGAAATCAGGTTTACAACATTCTTCTAAATAATATCATTATAAACCCTTAGTCCGTTAATAGGTATAAGTATATTTGGTTATGTAAAGGGTGATTCATTTCGAAGCTCCCTATTTTATTTTTAGAAAAAACACAGAAACTTCAAATTTAATGGCGAATGGTTATTATCATTCGAAATCATTTCTACTCGTAACTGGCGAATGACACTCATGATGTTTTGCTCCAAAACAAAAGCGAGATTCCCTGCATAGACTTTAGACTTTACATATTTCTAAAGAAAAAAGTCTAACAATGTGCTATCACACAATCTTGATGGCCAACCGTCCAGCCCAAAAAGTAGAATTATCTGATCACCGAAGTGTTCTTTCAATAAATCCATTGATTGATGCGAAGTGCGGTAAGTGGCGCCGTCTTGTTGAAACCAAATGTCGGCGAGATCACGAGCTTCAATTTCAGGCATAAAATAATCGATTATCATTTCGCGATAACGGTCGCCATTGACGGTTACGTTTTCATCGGCATCATGTTTGAAGAAATATTGGACCGATGATTCTACCGGTTCACAAACCGCACAAAACCATTGTTTTTTCGGAATGAAATGGCAGCAGTTGAATCTCTTCAGGTTGCTCTTCGTCCCAAATGGAGCAATTTTACATACCATTGTCATCGGCCTCAGCGCCGAACCAAATTTGGATCGAAAACGTCGGATCTTCATGGTACTGCAATTTCAAGAGCACATAGCGCGAATGATCTCGCTTGGGTATGTCGAGCCGCTTCAGTTCTTGTACAAGTTGTATTTTGTACGCTTTCAATTTAAGATCTGGACACAAAACGCGCCAAATTGATCAATGGTAAGATCGGGTAACAAAGTAATTGGCTGTCATTTGTGATTTCTCTTTAGGCTACATATGTATATTTTTCAATATATCAACATAACTAAATAACCATGACGAAATATGACTTTAACAACAACGACGCCTAAATGTATGCAACTATTAATATTGATCACACGAGATTAGAGATCGTGTAATAACTAGCCAAGTTCCCCACCAATCTTATGATATTACAATAATCTGATTCAGCCTGTATTTTGGTGAAATACACATTGTTGGCAGGAAAGATATGAATTGGTTATTTTTGGTTCTACCAAAAAAAACGAATGCAACAATTATGAATATTCAGTGTGTCGCTTACACTAGTTTTTCATAACATTGCCTGAATGTAACTACTTTTAAAAAGAGAGTATTGTCAATGAATTAAAGATAATGGAATAAATTCAGATAGTAAGCTCCTAAATATTTAAATTAACCGTTCCGAAACTACAAGCATGTTGAACATATGCGTCGATAATTGCTCTGGTAGTATCCGCATAAAATAAATTTAGCCCAACATAATAACCAAAATTAATTTAATAAAAACATGTTTACTTCTTTAGAAATCTGTTGGTTACTTTCATTACATTATTTATATCAAATTGAACTGGTATAAATTACAAACTGATTTCAAAATCTGAAAACATTGATCTTGTCTACTTTGAGGGAAATATTTATATACGATATATTTATATATATATATTTCAATGTTTAGACATCCCTTTCTCCCACACACTCACTGATGTCAACATAGACGCTATCGAATAACTGACGTAGTTCATCGAACTCCTCGCAGCTATCGCCCTTAAGCACCGCCGCATTCTCAGTGGCAAGTAGATCTAGAAAGTCTTCAGAAGCCGCCGATAATCGCTGATCAAGCGCACCAATCCGACTGAGTACACACATGGTAATGCCAGCGATATCGGTATTACTCTCTCTATTCCTCAGCTCAGCCACATTACAATCGGTAAGGACATTACGAGCTTCCACTGCAGCACCACGTATAAAATTCAGCTCAATGTCGGACTCATTCTGCAAGGCAGCTAAACCTTTTGTCAGCATTGCTCTGCAGCTCTGGAGTTTAAGCGTAAGTTTTTGCTCAAAGTTTGCAATGACGTAATTGTGTTGCAAATAACAGTGTTGATAAATGCTCTTGGAACGCATAGCGAGCAATCTAGCGTTAAGACGTTCCTCTATTAGAGGTTCATAATCATTTAGTTCGATTTGGGTGTCCCGCATTGCAGTCACAGCTTCAAGCAACTGAAATTCGGTTTCATTCCAAGTCAATCCCGCCTGAAACTCAGCATCCGCAACGAGCAGCTTCACACCTTCGTAAAGGGGACCGTGATGCTGCGATGTTARCCATGGACTGTARGGTAGAGCTTGCGTGAGCAGCTAAAAAAGAGATGCAATGAAGCAGTCAAATAAGATCTTCTTATTTAGACTGGTGTGAACTTACAAGCAGAGTGGCACCAAGGTGTAGAAGCAGCAAAACCACGCCGAGCTCCATGTTATGTTCGAGAATGCAGTTTATTCACTTGTGTTTCTTTCAATGCTTTCCGAAAATCAATAAGCCCAAGTGCTTCTATCAAACTGCTTCGAATTATTTGTGAAACTAATTGATTGCGACAAATTGTTTTGGCCAAATTTTTGGAACCTAATTAAGCAAATTGATGTGATGCTTCACTTATCTCGCTGATCGGTCAGATAAATATGTTATCTGCTTGTTACTCTGTTTTGTTTTGAAGAGCTCTTATCAATCATACGATATGATCTTCAATGGGACCATGCCATCATCGACGCAAAAGCCAACATTTATGTTTAATGTCTTTCGGTGACTCACACGAAACGGTTAAAATGCGTTACCACTATCTATTCCTTGTCATACTAGTCATGTCTGGCGCCAAGGTGAGCTTTAAAGTCAATAATATTTTAAGTAAGTATATTTATGTCTCTCTCCACAGTTCGTACTAGCTGAGGACGCACTTCAGACTATATCCTCAACAGCTGAAGGATCGGACAGCGGCGCCAATGGTCCGGTCACCGCTGCAATTGAAAATCTGGCCTTCAACGTGGCCTCCATCGCCGATGAGATCGCACTGCAAGTGAACCGTAAGTTGGAACGTACGGCTAATATTCTACATGGTAGCATCGAAACGCTCATCACCAACGCATTGAAKCAGCTCGCCCTACCGATCTTTCAAGCCAGTCGTAAGCTAAGTCACGAAAGTTGCAACACCACGTTGTCTATAGCCGTTCTACGTGCGAACATTGAGGCACAACTTAGCAATTGCACTGAAGACCTCAACGCGGTGTTGCAGACTTACAAATTCGAAGCGGARCAAAGCATTTCGAGAATAGAGAATTTAATCGATGAGGTTGTCAATTTGCCAAAAGCGTGTCACGTGTTGTTGGCGCGTGCGGCTTCGACCGCAGATGCACCTCCGAATTTTGCCTCGACTACGAATTGCTTTGTCGAGCGTATGACTGTATGGAATGAGCAGGTTTCTAAGGAGTTGGATGGTGTTGCTCAGTTGCTGTCGCGTACTCGTCAACTTTCTCAGGAGAGCGAGGCGCAAGCACTCTTTTGTGTTGGCGAACTAGTGAATGCCGTTGGTAAGCTCATTGATAAAGATTTAAGCCATTGTTAGAGTGCTAATTACTTTGAAAATTCTTTTAAAAATTGATTTAAAAAATAAAAGATTTGGTACTTTCATATCAGCTGGCACTGCCGAGCTGTATGGGAGTTATACTATGCCCCTTATGAGTTCTATTATTATTTGGTTTTTAGTTTTAACTATTTGGTCTCATAGCTAGTAGTATGTTCAAAACTTAGACGATTTTTTTTTACTGACATTGAGACCAAAGCATTTAGCTTTAAGTCATTTCGAGAGTAGCCTCGAATACGTCTCCGAACATCCAAGCGTGTGTTCGTTCAAACTTCTATATGGGGTTTTGAATAGGGAGCTACTAAAGTAGACCGATAGGAGCAGCAAACGACGCCATATTTTTCCACGTTATTTTGACATTTCTCTTCAGTAAGGTTTGCCATTTCATCATGGAAAAATATACGATCCATCAACGAGTCGAAATTATTAAAACTTGCTACCGAAATTGGGAGTCAGTGGCCTCAACTTTAAGAACGCTATGTTCCAGTTATGGTTGTCATAATCGACCTGTCAGATCAAGAATTGAGCAGTGGAGAAATTTGAATCCACAGGCACAGTTCCCGTGCCATGAGGTAAAGAAATGCCCGCAGTGTCGAGAATCAGTCTCTCACAAATCGTTCTCAAGCGTTTGGCATCTCTGTGAGGTCGTTATGGCGGGAAGATCATCTTCAACGATGCGTCTCATTTCTGCCTGAATGGCTTCGTTAACAAACAAAATAAGCATTTTTGTTCAGGCAGCAATACACACGTACTCCATGAGTCACCATTACATCCCGAAAAAATTACGGTTTGGTGGGGTTTATGGGCCGGCAGTGTCAATGGACCGTACTTCCTCCGTGATGATCAAGACCGGTACGTTACTGTAATAGGAATCGCTACTCCTCAATGATAACTGAATATTTTTGGCCGGAATTTGATGATGATTTATTGAAAACCAAGTTTGGTGAACATGTTGTCTCACCAAAAGGCCCAGTCAATTGGCCGCCTCCGTCGCGGTTAAATTATTTGCTGTGGGGCTACGTCAAGTATATGCTCTATGCTAACAAACCAGCGACGATTGATGAACTACGTACGATTATCAAACTGGAAATTGCAGCAGTATCGGCCGATTCATGCTATTTCTTTTAGTCAACAAAGAAGTCATGATGCTTTTTATAAAAACTTCTTCGTTGCAACTTATACTATATATGTATTTATACAAACTCCTGCAAGAATTTGTTAGTGTGCATGGGCATGCGCATGTCCTTAAGTGCTATCAAAATCAGCCCTTAACAAATAATATAAATTTTTTCACTCATAATCGTTACTTTTTTGCTCGTCTTCTGCTCGACTAATTCATTTTACCTAAATTCGAGTATTTGTCTGACCATCTGACGCACACGCGCCTTCGTAGTGCACGTGTTCAAGATTGAACGGAGAACGGAAAGACCCCGTCGCTTGTAAATTAGTAAGTAACGCTGCGCCTGCGCAGACACAGACGCATCAAATCGGCCGAACTACACATAAGTCATTGTGGATTGGAGGGAAGGTGGAGTACGTAAAGCATTTCGACATTTGGAACACAGTTGTTCAAATGCAAGGCATTATGTATATACACGTGTGTGTGTGCGTATGGAGCAGATCGAAGCGTATCCTTAACTAACACCTCGACAGCAACCACCATTATTAAATTGTTTACGGCTGTTTGGATCATTATATACACATGTATGTACATACCATATATCGGTATATGTCAATGTACATAATTATGTAAAAGTATGCGCCATCGTTGGGGGCAACTAAATCAACTCTTTCATTGAGCGCCATACGCTCATTATTTCTTTTATTAATATATTTGTTGTTGTTTTTTATATTCAACTCGTATTGATCCTGAGAGATATTGTAACTTTATTCCATGTCAATTAATTCCAATAAACTTACACTAATCTCATTGAGACCTATGAAAACCTAACAACGGCCCATCTGTTCGAGTTTTGCCTCAAATTCTCTTTCGAAGTTTGAAAAAATTTCCTCTTTTTGACGTAGACACCGCTTATGCGGTTATAGTCGAGTTTAACACAGCGCGCTAGTCATTTTTCTTTTCGCTATTTGGCGCCAATCGCAGATTCCAAGTGTAGACATCTCCTTCTCCATCTGGTCTTTCCAACGGAGTGGAGGTCTTCCTCTTCCTCTGCTTCCACTGGCGGTTACTGCGTCGAATACTCTCAGCGCTGGATTGTTTTCATCCATTCGGACGACGTGACCTAGCCACCGAAGCCAATGTCTCTTAATTCGCTGAACTATGTCAATGGAGGATGAAGTCATGTGTAGAAGTTCACGCAAGTGAGGAAAGTTCTCTGATCGCCATTCACTTGAGAGTGGCCAGAAACGATTCTTTTACATAGGACTCAAGCAGCTCAGGACTTCATGTCAATGTCGTCCTATATCTCGTACAGCTCATCGTCCTATCGACTGTGGTATTCACCGTTGCCAATGCGTATAGGACCATAAATCCTCTACAGAACCTTCCTCTCGAAAACTCGTAAAGTCGACTCATCAGATGTTATCATCGTTCATGCCTCTGCACCATAAAACAGGACAGGGATAATGGGTTAGTTGTGGAGTTTGGTATTTGTTCGTCGAGAGATGACTTTACTTCTCAATAGCCTACTCAGTCGTCATCTGTTGCCAAGAGTTATTCTGCATTGGATTTCAAATCGGACGTTATTGTTGGTGTTACTGCTTGTTCCAAGATAGACGGAATCATTTACACGAAGCAAAAGACATGGTTTAATAAATTGGAACTATTTTATACTATACGGAACTATTGCATAGCGTTATTGACATAAAGTACTGTCGATATTTGTAGCGAGATACCCTTGGGTTAGCGTAGTAAGCTTCAATTAGCTACTGTTGGGAAAAGGATGTCGAGAAGTCAAAGAATGTTTAGAAATCTGTACTTTACCTTGGTAAAAAGATGATGGGGCCCAAATCGGGAGTAACGCCTCGCGAAACTCATTGATACTATAAAGCAGTTTTATGGCCGATTGGGTTGGAAATCCTCACTATTAATGGTGAGGCGCATTCTAAGCTACTTAGTAAGCATTTGCTTCTACAAAATAGGTCCAAACTAGATAATCGAGTATCGCCAGCCAACTAGCAAACCTACAGTGTCTTCCAAGCGGAACCACAGAAATTACAGACAACTTTCTAGTTCTAATAAAGAGGGTGCTCACAACAAGGTCTAGTTGTGTTGTCAGACATACACTCTACCTTAGAAAGCTTTGATTATGGATTTCTTTTACAGATCTTCATGATGTCTCAATCTTGGGAAATTTGCTGACTTACAATAGCTTTAAGAAGAGTTCATTGATAATAGAAATGTTAATCCTATGTGTTTTTCTAGGAAAATTTAATCGATATATAGCTTTGCTACTATTTCAGCGTTTGATCATAATTGATTAATTTAGTCGAAGACAATTGATCGATCACGGAAATAAATACTTTTGAAACAGATTTGATTGACATCATTTCGAAATCACAAATAAAACAAGTATTTATCAGAGTTCTGTGAACTTTCAGAGTATTCTGGTATATTCTAGCTTAGTTTTGATTTGCTCTAAAAACGCCAAAACGACAAAGATTGGAAAACAACTCTCTCAACCGCCGGAGTAAATCATGACGTAACCTAGAATTTACGCTCTACACAAAATTAAGGCTATGGCTAAGGCCACGGCTTTTACTGAACGATCGCCTACTTTGAGGATGCCGGCTGCATTTCGATATAATATATTTATAGGTCTTGAAAGTTAGCAACTTATTATAACCTGAATAGGGTAAATAAGTTTTCCACGAAGTTCGTAACATCCAGAAGAAAATATGAGRGACCCTATAAAATGTACATAGAATTGATCAGCATGGTGAGTTGAGTCGACT